GGGGCCTGATCCAAAGCCCATTGAAGTCTACAGAATGGCTCCCATTGAATTCAATGGGTTTTAGATCAGGCCAGACAAGGTCACATAAAACCCTCCAAAAAGACATTCTTCAGGTTTGCCAAGCAAAGGAACTTGGGCTAAAAATAACAGAAGAAAATTGAGAAATGAGCGAAGGCTTAAACAGCCTTCTTTAGGGCTCCCAAAACTTAGACGGTGACATTTGAAAAACAACAACAACATCTAAATGAGCATGCATTATATGCAGTTTCAGGCTTTAATCCTTCAAATACTTATGCCTGTGAGTAACTTTACATGAGAGTAGCCTACTCGTATGTAAAGTTGCTCAGGTGCATACAAATGTTTGCAGGATCAGAGCGTTAGGTGCTTATTTTTGAAGATACGCCCCCCTCAAAAGTCTGTGGTTGTGGGGTTTTGTTATGTGAGCATCTTATTGCTCCATCCCATAATCTCCCTGTATGATGCCCGAAAAACAACTTCCTATGAAGGGGGTTGTTTGGGGGTTGTTTCTCTATAATTCACTCCTTATTTGAGATGGTGATGTTGCAGGTGACCTGGTATGCACTAAAATCACTGCAAAGTATAGAGTTCCTCCTGCTAGCACTCCATTAACTCCTCTCCTTTTGTATTTCTGAGACCATAGCTGAGATGCTCTGATTTCGGTTTTCTATTCCGTCCCATTCACTCTCACAGAATATCATTTATTACTTTCATGGCTCTAGCAGCACCTTAGATATGGGTGTACAGAGCTGACTGGGAAATGAACCTAGATCAGTTGTGTCAAAAGCAGCAATGGTAATTACAGTATTGCCAGTGCAACGAGAGAGAGGAAGGGTACTGTTGTATGTGTAATGGCAGCTGCTGATCACAGAAGGCCATTAATTGCTCCCACTGAAGCCAATGGCAAAACTCCCATTGATAGGGTGAACATATTTCCCTATGCTAAATACAGGGCACCTGGTAAAATTACTCGTATTCAAGTGAGTTCAATGACAATCAATCAGAACTATGCAGTATAAACATTCAAATTAACATCAAGTTGACTGAGCCCCTGTTAAAAAGAAATACTGCGTAGTGGGATTCTTTTTATTTACTTTCTTATCTTTAAGGCTTTAGGGTTCACATGGGGAGAGGTGACACACACACACACACACTCCCATACACCTCTCTCACACTTGGGGGTGACCGACCTGACCCTCTCTGGCCGGCGCTCTCCGCCCTCCATACTGGCTGGGCTCCTGGGACGGACCCGCTGTTCCTGGTACCTGGTGCAACGTCTTCCCGAGGCAACATATGGGGGGTGGGCATGCAGGGTCACAAGGCCCCCCTACCCCAGATTTCTGCCAGAGTTCACACCAGAATGTAGCCAGCAGCAGCCTTTCGGCACTGTGTGGGAGGAAAGGGAAGGGAGCTGCTTCCAGCCACAGGGGAGTGTGTGTGAGGGGGAAGGGATGACCTGGCCCATGTCTTTGCAGAGCTCATCTCTCTCTCCCCCTTGCCCCCCCCCCCACAGCTGGAAGCAGCTTGTCCCTTCCTGCCCGCACCGTGTCGCAAGGCAGATAACACCTCCAGGATGCTGCTGGCCACGGACATAACCCAGCCGCCTCCTGTCCCCCGGCTACAGAGCAGGCAAGAAGGGGTTAAGCCCTAAGGATGCCTTGTGCACCAGGGCCCAAGGAACCTGACTGCAAAGGCTTCAGCAAACCCGGCCAGAGAGGTGGCTCAGCAGGGGAGGGTGACTAGAGGACGGAGCAGCACCGCACTCTCTGGGAGAAGGAATCAGAGTGGGTGGGAGAACAGTGTGCTAAGCCCCTGCTCGGGGAACTGCTGTGGAGCCTGCAGGTTCGGGGCATGACCAGGCTGGAAATCACTTCCTCCCGCCACTCCAGAGCTTAGCTGAAGGGTGGAGAGGCTTCCCCGTGCTAGTGCTGTGTGGGGCTTTGGCACATGCAGGGCTTGGCTCCTCCTGGCCAGTTCCCTGGGCCAGAGGATCTTGGGCTTTCCCGGGGCGCTGGCCCATCCTTAGAGGTTTTTAAGGCCCAGCTTGACAAAGCTCTGGCTGGGATGATTTAGTTGGCGTTGGTCCTGCTTTGAGCAGGAAATTGGACTAGATGACCTCCTGAGGTCTCTTCCAACCCTAATATTCTATGATTCTATGAAGGAACCTGCCAGCCAAGCTGTTGGTGAGCTAAGCAGTCCAACCAGGGGCTGGTTCTCTGCACAGCACTGGGAGCCGGACGCGCCCCGCTGTGGGGGAGGGATGTGGAGGAGCAGTGGGGCTCAGGCGTGTGTGAAGGGGCAAAGCAGGGAGGGGACAGCGAGAGGGGGAGCATGTAAAGGGCTGATGGGTGTGCAGCCGATGCGACACGTAACTGGCTGACACCTGGCACCTGCCTGCACTCACCAGCCACTGCAGCTCACAGTGCGCAGCCAGTGCCATCTGGAAATGGGATGGGGGGCAGGGTCCTGCTGGCCAAGAGCCGACATGCAGCAGGGGCTGTGCTGGTGGACCAGCAGGAGGAGTGGCTAGCTTTGCCCCGCCCCCAGCCTTGCACACCCACCCCCATCATCGGCCACTGGACCCCTGCCCCCCACTCATCGCTGGTGGGTGGGCAGCTGGCGAGCAGGGATCCAGACAGCAGCAGGACCCACCAGTACTGATGGGGGGGGGGAGGGGGAGAGACAGAAAATATGAAAACATTTGCCCATTTTTTAAAAAAAAGTCAAGACACCTGTAGACGAGCTTACAAATGGGACGTCTGGTCACCCTGCCCATTGAACTGACTAGAAATAGCATTGGGCCCATATTGCTGCTGTTTCCTTATGAAGCAGAATATAATGAATGTAATCAAGGCATACTGTAGACAGTGTCTCACGCCCTCAGACTCCTGGATTATCTGTGCTGCTGTGTTACCGCGTATATCCGACCCTGGATGCAGGTGGCATTGACTGCTGAATAACTACCTAGTGCCGGAAAGAATTGGCTGTTTGTGTCTCTTTGCAGCATGGTACGAAGGGTCTGATTGTCAAAAGTGCTGAGCACTGACAGCATCAGTGGGGGCCCGTGGGAGTTGTGTGGGGCTCATTAAATCAGATCTCCTGTAAATGTCTCTAACAAGGCTAACCTTGGACAGCCCTTTCCAGTTCTGGGTATAAATACAGAAGAATGTATTTTTTCAGACCAATAAGTATTTAAGGGGGACATTTTCAAAGGCACAAAGGGCAGTGCCTTTGAAAATGCCATAATCCCCCTGGTAGTCAATGGGAATTGGGTGCAATACTGGCCTCTTTGCCTTTGAAAATCTCCCCCTAAGTATTTTACAAAAATACAGCTATATAGGACCAGATTTTCAAAACAGCACAGGCTCCACATGGGGCCAGATTTTCAGAAGAGCTCAGCTCCCACTTAAGCACCAAAATAAGAGCTCAGTAGGTTTGGTGCAGGTTGAGCACCTTACCCCACACGCACATTTTCCAAAGCAGAGGCCGGCCAGCCACAATAATATCCCAGTAGAACCCACTGGGGTTGTGGATGCATTTACCTCTGTTTTTGCTTCAGCAAGGGCTGATTTTTTGTGATTACATTTAATAGCCAGTGCAAGGGCGATGGAGGAGAGAGGAAAAAGGGAAATGCATCCGAGTGGCAGCGAGACAGGTCGCCTGGCAAATCTCACTACAAACGGAGAGGTTTTGGAGGAATGAGGCTGGGCACTAGCAGACAATTGTTCTCTCATCAGTGATATTTAACTTCTTTCATTCTCAACTGAGCACTGCCTTTGTCTATGGACTTTAAACTTCTCCCCTCCTTCCCTTTCATTCTCTTGTATGTAATTCCTAGCTGCTGACGGAACTCTAGTAACTTGCGCTATTCCTTTGTCTCCTTCAACCAATCCCCTCCACCAGCACCACTCAAATGAGCTGGCCTTTTCATAATAATTAGCTCACTCTCATGCCCTAAGTGATTGTGCAATACATATAGGCTTGGAAGGATTAGATTTGTATTGGTAAATGTCGGCAAACATTGATTTTGCTGCACATGCACAAACTAACACAAATATTTCTATCTAAATTTACAGATAGGCAAGTAAGAAAAATTCTGCTTGAGAACTTATTACAGTTTGATTTCAGGATATTTACTTTGTATATTTTGACATGTGATGTTGACGATCTGTGTATTAATGGTTATAAAGCTTTATCTTTTTGAATCTCAGCTATTGCCATTACGTGATTATTGTCTGACCACCCCCCATAATTTCTGTGAAAATTTAAATTGATAAAAACTGAAAAAATGCTTGAAATCCATAATTTTACACAACTGTGAACATTTAAATTGGAAAAAAATTGAAAAAATGCTTAAAAATTAACACTGTTATTGTCAAAATTACAAAACAAAAATCTAATACTGTACTGCATGTCCTCTCTATTTACACACACACACACACACACAGTCTCTGACAACTCTCTAATTTCAGCATGTGCATCATATCAGTGAGATGCATGGAATTTATTTAGGGTGGCATTCTGGGCTGGACAGCCAAAGTGTTGGGGGAGAGTGTTGCTCGAGCAATGGTAGCTGGAGGCATGCTGCTTGCAGAAAACAGAATGTCATTGCTAGTCTTGGTGGTGGTGATGGGGTTGTGCTCATGTGTGGTGACTAGCATATCTGTAAAAAGGTTCAGGGTGTGCCAGCCTCAGAACTGAACTCCAAGTGCTAGTGCCGTGGGGATGGGGCAAGAAGAACCTTAAACACACCTCCAACATGTCTGATCAGACCCCTTTTGGGGTACTGCACCAGAAACCCCCTCCATTTATCAAGCAGTTCTATCCTAGAAGTCTCTGGCAGGGGAACACTCGGGGGCAATGGTCTCCTGCATCCTTCCCTCCTCCCACTTCACAACCACCTTGGGAAAGCCAGGGTCTGATGCTTCAGAGAGACCCCAGTTTAAAAACCACAAAACACAGTAAGTGCCATTGCAGTTTACCTTTTCTCGTCATGTCTGTAAGATGTGGAGGTCCGGCCACTGGTCCAAATAAACATCTTAGAGGATTGCCCTGTGGTGCCTTTCCTTACTGTGGAGGTCTTGGAGGGATGACGGAAGGACCTAGAAGGAGAGGGATAGTCTCTGTCAGTATTCATTTGAAACACACCAAACCATGTTGTGTCCATCATGCTAAGTTCCCGGGCCTGGATTCCTATCCACTTGGCAGTGTTCAGTGGGCTCTGGTCCGAGGAGGTGGACCTTCTGATTATTCGAGGCGATATGTAAAGTAACAGCGATGCCCTCTCTGTTCCCTTCCAGGAGCTTTATCTTCTACTTTTTTTTCTCTCTCATTTGTTTTGCTAGCACTGGCTCACATCAGAGATAAGATGTTGTTTCCTTGCCTGTGCTTTACTGCCTGGACAAATGCTTGCTTTGCTGTTGGATCACCCTTGCACACACTCTTGAAAATGAAAACTTCACCTTGGAGTGAACTCCAAGCGCTGGCTAAACAATAGGCTGGAATCTTTTGTTGTTCCCATCACTTTTGCCTGCTTTCCTCCCTGGCCCAAGACCTCTTGATACATTTGTTCGAAGCAGCCATAGATTTTAAATAATTACGTGAGCCCATGGTGTATTCAGAATGCATTGATCTGTCACCAAACTCGTAGTTAAATCTAACTGCAGTTACAGTCCCTCTCCCGGCTGGCATTCTGATTGGCGCTGCTTGAGAGAATCATAGCAACTTGACTAGGTGCTCCATTGATGCATGCAGAATAAATGTTGAGGACAGTTTGTTTTCCTTTTTCTATTGCTCATATAATGGATTAACTCTTTGATCGCCAGGATTTTTAGCTGGCTCTTAGGCACTAATGTAATAAACATGATTAATAAGATCAGGCGAAGACCATCCACAGGCTGATCTTTCTGGTGAGAGTCTCTGCCAGCATTATACCTTTTCCCCAGCATGTCAACATGGTGTATGTTAATTAAGAGGTTATGTATCTGTTACAAGTATCAGGGGGTCGCTGTGTTAGTCTGTATCCACAAAAACAACAAGGAGTCCGGTGGCACCTTAAAGACAAACAGATTTCAGTCCTGCAACCCTAAATCAGTCAAAACTCCCAGTGGGTACTTTGCCTGAGTAAAGACAGAGTTGCAGCACCTGGAGCTATTTATTCTTTTGGAAGTGTATCTGATATCACCACAGGCTTTAAAAGGCTTTATTGTTCCAAACCTGCTTAGCTGATACAGTCATGGCTGTCTTAGAAGCAGAACAAGGACTTTGTTTTTTAAATGGGCTCCAATTAATTTCCTCCTACTGTCCCCTTAATCTACACTCCCTTCGGCAAATGCTCCCACTCTAAGATTTGTGCTTTCTTTCATACCCCCAACCCACCGCCAGCCTGGCACAACCTCCCACTTCATGTCTGCCAAGCAGGCTCTCTGTCCTCCTCCTGCCATAGCTTCTTCCTACTGCCTTCTAATCAGTGATTTCCCTAAACACTCCCAGAGCACAACTGCTGCGCAGGGCTTTCTCTTTTCTGCAGCAGGGCATGATACCAGTAGCATTTCATTTTCAGAGCTTAAGATTTAAAGAGGGGAGAAATGTAAAGGAGTTTTGATCTAGGGATTTGGTTTGGACTCACTTCTCTCTTTTTTAATTCATCTATACCGAGGTTTGCCAGGATCCAATTTACTTCTTTATCATTTTGATGGATGTTTATTTTTAAGCATTTTTTTTATCTATTTGAATTTTCACAGTTTCACCAAATTACGGGGTTTATGCATTTAACATTTTTTATTGATTTAAATTTTCACAGTTGTAGGAAATTGTGGTGGTGGTGGGAGTTAGACAATTATTTAATGACAGTAGATGTTGAGATTCTAAGAGTTAAAGCCTTTTAATGGTTCATAGAATGTCAGGGTTGGAAGGGAGGTCATCTAGCCCAACCCCCTGCTCAAAGCAGGACCAATCCCCAGACAGATTTTTGCCCCAGGTCCCTAAATGGCCCCCTCAAGGATTAAACTCACAACCCATGGTTTAGCAGGCCAATGCTCAAACCACTGGGCTATCCCTCCCCCCGTTAGCTCTCTGTTAGAGCACAAATTGTCAACCTCACCTGTCAAAGTATATAAAGTAAATACCCTTAAACCAATCCCTAATAAGTTCTCAAGAAGAATTTTTCTTACTTTGCCTATTTTATTTATCAACGGAAATATTTTTTGTTGCTTTGTGTGCATATGGTAAAATCAATGTTTACCAACATTCACGGATAAAAAGCTAATCCTTCCTAGCCTAACTATATCTCAATTGGTTCTGAACGCTCATCCTTACAAACAGGTGACTGAATGATGCTCAGCATCTCACCAGATCCGGCCCTCGATTGTGAAGTCCCATGTATTGGGGGGGAGGGATAGCTCAGTGGTTTGAGCACTGGCCTGCTAAACCCAGGGTTGTGAGTTCAATCCTTGAGGGGGCCACTTAGGGATCTGGAGCAAAGTCAGTACTTGATCCTGCTAGTGAAGGCAGGGGGCTGGACTCCATGACCTTTCAAGGTCCCTTTCAGTTCTAGGAGATAGGATATCTCCATTAATTTATCTCATTCTATGATTTGTAAAGCACTGTGTGCATTTATCGCACTATGGAGCAGGACTCAATAATAAAAATGAAATAGTCTGGATTCTAAGTGCCTTAATGTAGAATGTTTTTGTATCTCAGTGGCCATTCCCTAGCTCACTGAGAAATAAACTCGTCTGTTTGTGGTTTCCAGTGAGGGTGCACATGCATTCCAGAGTGCTGTTTGTGTAAAAAAAAAATGCTGTCACGCCACCATCTACAAAGTCTCACAAAGGGCTGATTCATGTATTTGCATAGCTGTGAACCTGGGTGAATGCTCAGAACTGACGGAGATGGATTTGGAGGGGAAAAAACAGTGCTGGATCTGAGCTGAAATTCAGCTTGGAGAGTGAGAGGGCTGGAATCCAAATCTGGATTTGGATCAGAATTTCACAGCTGGACTTCTATCTCAGGAATGGGGCAAACCAAAATCCTGGGTCTTTTCACCCCAAACTTTGCAGAGGAGTGGGAAGGAGGCTTGAAATTTAGAGAGAAGGAGGCCCTTCTCTAAAAACCATCACCAAAACATTCTGCCTATTTAGGCCTTGGGTGACACCATAAAAAGCTACAATGTATACCAGTGAGTTGGCCTTTTGGCAAGTGCTCAGTGCCCTATTGTTAGCACTGAGCACCCTCAAAATCACACTGAAATGAATAAAATCCATCTGTTCCTCTGGGGCAGGAACCATCTTTTTGTTCTGCATTTGTACAGTGCCTGGCACACTAAGATCATGGTCCATCACTGGGGCTCCTGGGCGCTACCACAAAATAAATAAATAATCTAAGTCTTTATATCACACTCATGGGTGGACACAGATTAGGCAGGAAGGGGAGCTCTTTGCACCAGCCAAAGAGGAGGGACAGCACTGCTTAAACAAACAAGGAAGAAGAAAGGAAGCTGTGTTCTCCCAGTCTCCTTACTTTAACCCCTGACGCTTGTCACTGTGGTATCTGAACACCTAAACAGTCTTTTCTTTCCTTTTCACCTGAGCAAAAAACCATAGTCAAGTATTAGGGGAACAATGTATAAGAAAAGGCATTTGTGACTAAAATAACTATGGCTTGGAGGACAAAATAGTAGCTACCAGCATCTAATCAATATGAAGACCCATTAAGGAGAGTTTTCAAGCGGTCAGCATAGGTGCTGGAACTAGAGGTGCTGGGGGTGCTACCCCACCCCCTGGCTTGAAGTGGTTTCCATTATATACAGGGTTTACAGTTTGGTTCAATGGCTGTCAGCACCCCCACTGTACAAATTGTTCCAATACCCCAGGCCATCAGAGTAGAGAATTTGGGATACAGGACTCCTGGGTCCTATTCCTGGCTCTTCTACTAGTGACTCACTGTGCAGCCTTGGGTAAGGCATGGTCTACACTAGAAAATTAGGTCAACATAAATACGTCGCTCAGGGATGTGAAAAATCCACACCCCTCAGTGGTGGTGTTAAGCTGACCTAAGTCCCTGTGTAGACACTGCTAGGCTGATGGAAGAATTCTTCTGTTAATGCAGCTACCACCTCTCTGGGAGGTGGATTACCTACGCTGATGGGGAACCCCTCCCATTGGTGTAGGTAGTGTCTACACTGACGCACTAAAATGGTGCCGCTGTGCTGCTGTAGCGTTTTAAGTGTGGACAAGCCCTGTGACACTCAGGTTGACTAAAATGGCCTCTAACATTGGGGACATCAGCTAGCAAACAGAAAATTGTGGCATCCAGTACCATATTTAGTGTCCACTGTTATAAACTGAGGTCTGGCCCTCTGCGCATCAGTTTACTCAGTCTGTTCATATGAAGCAGTTGTGAGGCCTTATTGAAATCTTCAGGAGGAAGGCCTCTAAGGTCCTGTTCACACACAGTCCTATCACTCCTGTTGGTGTCACTTACTGAAAGGTAAAGTTACACATGGTGTGTGAACGGCTAAAACTAAAAAGTACTGTAATAGGGCAGCTGAATGACGCAGCTGGACCTACTGGACGCTGTGCTGATATAGCCTAAACCATTGCCATAGTCACTGGGAGACCTAGAGGAGCTTGGTTATCACAGACTTTGCTCTAAACTAAACACAGCTGAGCATACAGTCGCGGTGATATACAGCTCATGCTGCCTGCATTCGTTATACAGTCCTTCTCCGGTAGGATGAACAGTAGCAGCATCACCACAGGTAGCTAGACATCTCCTGACTCACCTAGTCCGAGTGAAGGCTTTGTGATGGCAGCCTTCAAAGTGGAGGGGGGTGGCTGCAATGCACAGAAGGGTGTATGGGAAGGAAGGAGAGGTCTTTTTCTCTGGAAGAGTTTGAAGGATTTCAGAATGCCAGTGCCTTGGAGCTACCCATATGTGATATCATTAATGCTGCCTGCTTCATTAGCTGGGCAATCCAAGCCACCCTTCACTATTTAACAGATAATTACATGCCTAATCTTGTGTAAAATTGTAACAGTAATGACATCACAG